TCAACTTTTGGAAAGAGTAGCCCACAAACTGAGTCCTTTGTGAGAAGGGCAGCATATAAATCCAACAAACAAACAAACAAACAAAAACTACTTCAGAGGGAGCCTTTCTTCTCACTCACCAGCTTCCCAGCATCCATTGTTTCCTTCAACCTCTTCCCCAGCTCTGAGCCTGAAGCCACCATCGCCCTCAACATGTCTCCCGTGGCCAGGTGGCATACACAGTACGTTTCAGCAAGCCGAGGAGCCTGGACAAGAAAGAAGAGTCAGCAGTGCCCATGATAGTTATATACAGGTAATACAACTATAATTGAGCTTGCAATTTTAAGTCATGACAGTCATAAAACACGTTACCACACAACTGTGCCCAATTTTAAAATCTTTATTATTAAAAAACACCATGGTTATTAAGCAAACCCATTGTTCACTGTGGGGCCATTTTTGCTGAAAACAAGAAGTGATGCCAATCTCAAAATAAAACAGAGCTGAAAGGGACCTTGAAGATCTTCTAGTCCAACTCCCTGCTCAAATAGGAGATCCCATACAATTTCTGACAAGTGACTGCCAGTCTCTTCTTAAAAAACCCCAGTGCTGGAGTGTCCCTGATTTCCGGAGGCAAGCTGTTCCACTGGTTAATTGTTCTCACCGTTAGGAAGTTTCTCCTTAATTCCAGGTTGCTTCTCTCTTTGATTAGTTTCCGTTATTTCTTTTCCTGCCCTCTGATGCTTTGGAAAATAAGTTGACCCCCCTCTTCTTTGTGGCAGCCCCTTAAATATTGGAATACTCTTATCATGTCACCTGTAGTCCTTTTCTCTAGACTAGACAGACATACCTGATTCTTGAAAACATTCTTCATATGTTTTAGTCTCCAGTCCTCTAATCATTTTTATTGTTCTACTCTGTACTTTTTCTACTGTCTCAACATCTTTTTACATCCTAGCAACCAAAACGGAATGCAATATTATAAGTATATTCTTACCAAGACTGGTACTAATGCTTCAAGGGATTGTGATTCTATCCTTCTGTTAATGCAACCTAGGACTGTTGGCTTTTTTGGCTGCTGTCACACACTGTTGGCTCATATTTAAATGACAGAACTCCAATATCCCTCTCTGTTACAGCTATTGAGTCAGGTATCACCTATTCTATACCTGTACCTTTGGTTTTTCCTGCCCAGACGTAAAACTTTGCTTTTCTCCACATTAAATTTCATTTTGTTGGATAGTGCCCATTGTGCAAGTCTGTCAAGATCCATCTGGACCTTGAGCTTGTCTTCTGGGGTGCTGGCTATTCCTGCCAACTTAGTGTCATCTGCAAAGTTGATAAGTTCTCCTTCTATTCCCTCATCTAAGTCATTTATGAAGATATTGAAGAGTCCTGGGCCTAAAATGAAACCTTGGGGTACACCACTGCTTACTTTCCTCCATGTCCATAAAGGACTACACATTGAGCCCGGTTTGTCAGCCAATTACACAAAAAAATTGTAAATCAGAGTTCTGTGACTACAGTTTCGCAAGACGCCCTGCCTGCCCCGCAGGGCAAAGGGCTCATTTGGGAGAGGCCTAAAAGGGTCCGGCTTCGCCAAGAGCAACTCTGCCCCAAAGACGGTTTGGCATGGCAGACTTGAGCTCAGGGCAAGCGCTTATAAGACGCTGAACTGGAAGAAGGGAATATTTTTATTCCGCTTCTTAAAATTAGGTGCCACTCTAGGCCAGGCCGGGCCTTCTCAGCCTCGGGCACTTCAACTCCCAGAATTCCCTAGACAGCACCAGGAGGGCGCAGGCGCAGAACCCACCTGACCCCCCACCCCGGAAGGACTTTCTCCAGGAACCGCCTGGTGTAAGGCGGCATTTCTCACCACGCAGCACCCCCCCCCCCGCAGAAACCAGCTGGGCGCCGCGCCGATCCCAAGCTCGGGCCCGGGACCCGCCGGCTGGACCTGGGGTGGAGAGAGCGCTGCGGGAGCTCGCGGCCAGCCCTAGCAGACGATCGGCTCCCCCGCAGGATCCAGTGGACACTCCTCCAAACCGGCTGTGGGAGTCCGCCCAAGCGGCGGCTGTCGGCAAGTTTCTGCCAACGCGGGTCGAGGAAGGCCGGGGTCCGCCCGTCCGCTCCCTCTGGGGTCCAGCAGAGGCGCCGCGAGGCTTTCCCCGACCGGCCTGGCCCACTCACCTGAGTGCCCTTCCCTGCACCGGGCGGCCCCAGGAGCAGCGCCCGAACGCCCTTGCGGGCCCTGCATCCCAGCGTGTCGCTCTCGCCTTCCGCGCTTGGAGCCATCGCGCCCGGCACCTCCTGCGCCGCCGCTAGACCAGCAGCACGCCTGGCCATTGGGCCGAAGGCCGTCTCTCACGCGGAGTAGGCGGTTCTCCCCCAATCACCTTACCACGGAGGCGGGATCTTGCCTCTGATTGGGTGTCGTGACCTCAAAAGCTGGCGGGATAGACCTACGCCTGCGCATTTGCTCGCGATAGGGAGGGGCACTTTAATTCTTGGACTGCGCGGCTGTTGATTGGAGCACGAAAATATATGCAAATGTATCCCGGAAATGGGAGTAAAAGCTCTTCCCCTCCCCGCCTCGTAACCGGAAGGTGGCGCTCCGGGCGGGATTAGCAATAGCAGTAGACTTATATACCGCTTCATAGGGCTTTAAGCCCTCTCTAAGCGGTTTACAGAGAGTCAACATATTGCCCCCAACAACAATCCGGGTCCTCATTTTACCC